AAGATGAGAGAGAGAGAGAGAGAGAGAGAGAGGTGGGCCCGATTTTATATTTAATAATAATAATAATTTTAAAAAGTGAAAGAAAAATGAAAATTAAATTCATTAAGGGTATAATAGTCTTTTTAGTTTGGACAGGGACCAAAACTACATGTAAACTAGCTCAATAGGACCACCAATCCAAAAAAGTCGTGGTTTGGATTAAAACCCCAAAAAAAATGCATACCACAGGGACCATTTTTGCAATTTTGTCTATCTAAAATTAGATTAAACCATATATGTGTATAATGTTTCTTTCATCTTATATTTCAGAAGCAAACAAAAAATTAATAAAAAATTTACAACTTAATACAGTTAATCCACAGCTTATTAAAATCAATTCACAGTTTTCTACAGTCAATTCACCATTTAATATAGTCAAATCACAGTTTAATACACAAAATTCATAGTTTAATATGATAAATTCAAAGTTTTATACAAAAAAAAATTATACATTCACGACCATATTATAAACTTAAAAGTTATATTTCAAAACTTTAATTCACAGTTTAATAAAACAAATTTAGGTCTCTCGTTCACACTATTTACATCTTAACACATAATTGATTGCGTTGAAACATTTCATCAGATACATTGTGTGCACCACACAAATTCACAGTTTAATAGAGCATTCAAACTCTCATTCACAGTTTAATAAACATTTTAGGACTCTCATTCATAATATTCATAACATAAAAACATATTAATTCACGCATTCACAGTAACTAACTTAAATAGAACTAAACAATAGTTGAAACATTAAAACATCACAGTTCAAAACTTAAAATAATCAAAATTTATATTATTTGAGAAAACACTAACATAATAACACACATTTTAAATTCAATTCACATCTTAACAACAATAAAACATAAAGTGTGAATACAAACTTGATGCAAACATTATAAAAAACAATAAACATGGATTAACAACTTAATAGTAGAAAAAACTATGTTTAACAAAAATAAACAACAAATGAGAGATTACAACATTAAATTCACAACTTAACAGAAAGAAAAAAAAAGTAAACAAATATCAACATACCTGATGTGTTTCACCAAGATCAGAGATAAATAGATGAATGATATTTGATAGTGTTTAATAGAGCGGCGAAGCAACATAAGTGGTGGCGGTTGACGGCGGTCTCAGATCTGGTCTCAATCTTGCTGGAGCTCTGTTAGATTTCTTTAGATCTTGCGTCAGCTAGAGTTTCAGTTGCGAACATGCTTCAAAACA